CTGCTGAAAGCAGGGCTAATGCCAAGAGGATTAAAGGAAGATCCATACCTCCACGTAGATGTGGGTGCTACTTCTACATACCCTAAAAATGTCCTTGGGCTGTTGCCAAGTCCTTTCCTAAAAGTTCCCAACGCTGGACTTGCCTTTTTGACCAGATTTGTGAATTAGGCTGACATTTTAAAAAGCTCACCCTCCTCCAAGTGCTGGATTTCCTGCCACAGTGGGCAAGTGAGAGCCCACCACTGGGCTGCCTCTCCTCCATGTGCATGCCTCTGCACAGCCAGCCTAACCTGTCATTTAACTTCCCTCTCACTCAGGAGATCTTCTCACAGCTTTTTGCAGGTAGATCTGAAGGGGACTGTTGAAAGCAGTTTTCTATCAGCTACAGAACCTGTCACTTCCATAAAAAGCTTCTCTCCAAATCACTTGTGACTAGGCCAGCTAGCACAACTCCCAGACTACAACTTCATCCATTATTATCTCGTCTGTGAAAACTATTGTTCACAATCTCTGCTTCCCATCTTCCAGCTGATTGCAAAGCCAGCAAGACCTCTCATCTTCTCCACAACACTTTCATTTGCAATGATAGCACCATTGCTTTTGGGTTTTGGAGTAAACACTTCACTCTTGGACTGCAAGTAGCTTGAAAAAGACCTTTAAATGTATGTGACACGTGGAAAAGGTGCAGAGCTGGATTATTCCAGAAATCTGTAAATGCCAAAAAAAAATCCCATAGCTCCTAGTTCTAATTGGTCAAGAAAGCAAAGCATATAAGCAGAAAAGCAGCTGCTCCATCCAACTCATAGTGGTAGCTCCTTTAATTACATTTATTTCTTGAAGATGACACTCTTGCAATCTTTTCCAGAGTTAAAACAAGAACATCAAGCAACTGTCAAAGTCAGGACAGAGGAGAAAATCCATCCTGTTTGACAGGATTATAGCAATACCTGCATGCAATCCAAAGTATTCTGGTAGCCAGAAGAAAAGCAAAAAGAGATAAAAAACCACATCAGCTGTTACACTAGCCAAAAACCAACAGTCTGCCAAAGATAACCCAACCCTCAGTTTGAGTGACATCATTTTCTCACTGACTTGCAGTGTCTGCCCTGTTCCACCCTGAGATTGCCACCTCGTCCCCAGAAGCATCTGTTTGCTAAACAAAAGCCAAATCCCCACATACCAAATTCATGAATAAGAAAACCAGGTACTTTTTGAGGGCCTCCAAATCACAACAGGCTTTGAGCAGAAGCTGCCCCATTTGCCATCACACCTAACCCAACTCTCCAGCAGCCTCTAAATCACAACATCAAGTTCCAGGCTTTGGTGCTTTGCCTTTGCAGCTCCAGGAATCCACAGCCAAGGGTTTCTCCAAATCAAAACCAAACAGGGCTCATCACATCTGCCAGGCTACATCCTTAAGCTGTCTGCCACCATGGCAAAGAGTGTTCTGTGCAGGCATCAGAGCTGGCCCCAGCTTAGCAAATGGGACAAGGGAGCTGCCTCAAACTTCACCACTTGTTATGCTCAGGTAAAGGCCACATTTCTCCTTTGTGACCCCTAATAAAAAGCATAAAGCATGCATACACAAAATAAACTTCAAATCACATGGATGCAAGTATTCTTCCTCCCTGCAGATGACCCTGGAAAATGGAGCAGGCAGATGTGGGGTGGGCTATTTAAAACATCCCTGAAAGCTGTTGGGCACGATCTGAAAGAAGTAGCCTGAGGACTGAGCAGGCCAGGATTTTGTCCCCAAAAATTGTGACCCCAGAGACTACTCAGGCAGCACAACTGATACTTGTCCACAACAGCAACATGTTGCATTCAATCAAGATGTTAAAGCATTTTACTTAAGAACAAACAAAACCCAGGGCATCAAGAAATCTGGCATTAAGAACAGAAGATACCAAATGTACAGCCACGAATCCATCTTGTTTTCTGTCTTACCTCTAGAAGCTGTACTGCTCCTTCATGTTCTCTTTTTGCCTCTGCCTGAGCCTACAAGTGAGTGAGAAATGTAGTAAATAAGAAAGCAGCATACCTAAGTTCTCTTGTGCTATCACCACCACTTTGCTTGATCATTTTAGAATTAAAACACTGTATAGACTCAAAGTATGTTTGGACAAAGAGCAGTGAGAGATCAGAACTGCCATCCCTGAGAAGAGCCCTTCACTTTGCTCAGGGAGCAGAGGTCACCTATATGCAGACACTCTTGGTTTGCTTTGTCCTGTACACTCACACACCCCGTGCTTCCAAGGAAACAAGGTGCAGGAGTCCCATCACTTCCTCCCATGGATTCAGAGAGGACAATGTGGACACTCTCCCACAGAACATACCTGCTGCAAGCGCCTGACCTCCTCCTGCTTCTCCTGCAGGACTAGCAGTGCTTCCTTGTGCTCCACTTCCAGCTGCTGCCTTCGCTCCGCCACATTTCTCATGTGCTGCAGAACAATTCACAGAGAGCTGAGGGGTGACAGTACTGAAATATCATCCTGTGTCCTACCACGGGCCATGGAGTCAAAGCATGGCCTGTATTGCACGGCATCATTAAACAGAGGAGAAAGCAGGGAACTCTCATCACAAGCCAGAGCAACAGAGCCAAAGAAAATCCTTCCTTCAGTGATGGTCACCTTACTTCCCCTCCCAGCCAAACCCCTGAAGCAGCCTTCCTAAAGCAGCCCTGATTGCCCACTTTGGCAGGCTGTGTTGCAGGACCCCAGAGAAGCAGAATTAAGCAGAATTTCCAACAGAAGCACAAAGACAAAAGAATGGACAAAAAAAAAGCAAAGAGACAACATGTGCCATCCAAAAGCACAAAGTGTCTGGACAGTCCTTCCAGCCCTGTGGATCCTACTGACCTTCAGCACCTGCTCTAGATTCTCCAGCTTGGTTTGGAGTCCTTGATTCGTCTGAATTACTGAATCCCGTTCCTTGGTAACCAAAACCACCTGTAATTTCAGGTCAGCATTCTCAGATTCAACCTGAAGAGGGAGGATTTGCTGTTAGCACAGGCACCCATATGTATCCTTGTACAAATAAACGAGGGCAATTTATGTCTGTATCTCAACAGGTTGTTTTGCAGACCTGCTTTCTACTTGATACCTCCTCTCCCACTTGCTTTTACTCAAAACACATACACAAGCATCTGCACAGGTCTTCAGTGTGATGACTGAGGACTTTATTTGCTCATGCTGCTTCTCCCACCAGACTCGCCTGCCCTCCCCATTTGCAAAGAGGAAGGGACTGGGATGTGAACAGGCTGCATACTAAAGAGAGATGAAAAAAAGCACAAAGGCCTACAAACATTTTTAATCCAGGATGGTAGGATTAAAAATTCTTCTACAGAGAAGAGTGGAGAAAGTTCAGGGGTGTGCTGCCATCATGTTTACCTCCTCCACTTACTACAGGAAATTCCAGCAACACATTTTGCACTACAGCTTGAGAACTATTAAAATTTCAGGTTAGCAAGCAAAGACAAACATTTCCATTTAGAACTAATGGCCATTAAATATGTGGGAAGCCTTATGTGTGGTGGTAACACTGACACACAAGACAGACCAGTGACTTTCTCACTCTCATGCATTACATTTGCCCAGAGAAGGAGCTGGGAACAGATCCATGGAGGATCTTCACTGGACTCTTCCACCACCCTCACATGCAATATGCTCCTCAAACACAACTCTCCGAGGTGCAACCACCCTCCCTTGAAATGTGCTCTGCAAACTGAACAATGCAAGTATCCTGCCTTTCTCCCAAGACCTGAAGGCTCTGGGTTTTCCATTTGGCAAGGGCAGCTCTCAATGGCAGAGGCAGTTTCCTGCCCTGCCTCATGATTAGTCACCAAAACCCTTTCTCAAGCACAGCAAAAAATTTAGAAGTGACTGAGGAGTTCAAACACACGATCCACTTGCATCACTTGCAGTGATGGGTTCTGCTCTGCTCCCCACCCACCACTCTCCAGCTTTGGTTATAAACTATCAACAAATTACCACAGGGAAAGCAAGAGTGAACTTCAGTAAGGACAAAGCATCTCGCTCAAGTCTTGGGGAACTCTGTAACAAAGCCAGGGCAGTTATCTCTCTGCTTGCAGTTACCAAGGGGCACACAGGACTGAGGGACAGAGATGGGCACACTCAGCTGGCAGCTTGAAAAGCCAGCATGCCAACAAGCTCCTCTCAGCAAAGTTTTCCAGAAGCTGATGCTCCATCTGACAATGACCCTGTGTTTTACCTGTCCTGCCCATCCAGCCTTCTCATTCAGGTGCAGGTTCTCTTCAGCCAGTCGTGCATTTTCACTCTGTACCTCCTGCAGCTGGATCTCCTGTCCAGAGAGAGCAGGGGTTACTGCACCAAGGCCCTCAGACTAAATCCCCCAAATTCTCCTGCAGAGCAGCTCCAGTGCTTCTGCTGACAGATGGTGCAGGGTGCTGCTGGGATGCTGCCTGAGGGGTGGAAGCCACAGCGTGCAGCACTGCTCAAGCAGATGCCAGCTGTGCTCCAGATGATCTCTGAAGTTTCTTTTCCCATTTACGTAGCCTCAAAGCCCAGAATGAGAAAGACATTTCCTTGCCTACTTCACAGCTGCAGTGTCACATTATTTATGTGCTGCTGTCTAGAACTCCATCTCCACCTACAACAGTTCATCAAGTTTCAGTCTTGGTTCAAGATCAGAGTCTTCTTGACAAATTTCAGCTAAGGAAGAAAAAAGGATTTTGGAAGGATGATGCTGAAGACAGTTCTAGAGTGCAAACTCAAGAGTTTTAAACCAGGGTTCAGGCTGGAGTTAAGAAAGCAACATCAGCCAGCCATCTTCCTGCCTGAGGCAACACTGTCCCTGAGCAGGCAGGAGACCATGGACATATGGAGAGACAATGACTGAATTTGGTAGGTCCAGTCCATCTGCAGCAACTTTGTAGAGCATTAGAGGAATTTAACAGTTGTATAATTGCACAAACTTATTTGAACAAACTTATTCCTTACTTATTCCTTCATCTTCCCATTGTAACCCAGACAATGAGGCTGAGATATGCACTATGAACTGCATCTGGGCCCAGGCTATGCATCAGAGCTGAGCTGAGATTTGAGTGAGACATAAAACATCTCCTCAGAAGGGAAGCCCCCTGGGTGAACCTACACACTGTCATAGTCACTAATGACACCACGTTCCTCAGCAAAGCAGAAATGGGAGAAATCCAGGGGCTGTGGTATGGCCTGTGAAACCTCCATGACATTAACCAGAGGCAAGACTTCATCCAACAACTAAGAAGCACAAGAAAATGCCTGTGGGTTTGGGTAACTACCATCTCAAGATGCAGAAGTCTTTTGATATTTGTTTAGAGGGCATGTGGAAATGGGTAAATATCTCCTCAAACCAGGGAAGCCCACTGAGTTTTAGCCAATGATTTACGTAGCTATAGTCAACCCACAGATGGCTGAAAGAGTAAATAAAACAATTTCATCCCCAAATTTGTGACACTGTTCAAACTAAGAGACTGACTGGTGGTTCCTTATCGAGACAAACTGAAGAGAATCCAAGAGAGGCACGCCACAACCTAGCTTCTCTTCCACCATTATGCTCACAACAGTAAGCAACAAGAACACTTACCAGTTCTTTGCATCTTTTATGCTTTTTCCTCACTTCATGCTCAAGGTTTTCACATTTTTTGCGTTTTTTCTTGAGTTCAAACTCCTGCATGAGACAACCATAAGTAAATCAGCAAGTCCACGTTCTTACAATGCAGAAGAAATTCAAACCCAGCTTTCTCAGCCCCAATGCTGGATTAGCCATTTTCACTTTCTTAAGAAACACAAACAATATAGAAACCAAGAGAGATCTCTTTCTTTTTTTCTTTTTTCATTTTTAATTTTTTTTTAAAAAAGCAAAGTAAAACAGAAGGATTTCAAATGAAACAGTTATTCCCTAAGCCTTTCACCTTCTGGAAATAGTTCTCTGTCTCCCATTTGCACAGACTGTTCCTCTTTGTATAGAATAGTTTGGGGGGCAGGATGTGAGGGACAGAAAGACAGAGCTGTGCAAAATATTCAGCTTGAAACATCAGCTGTGCTATCTTAGCTCCTATTCTAATCCAGATGACATTTAACAGGCAACAGACATCTTGTGCTCGTGTACCTTCATCTGCAGTTGCTCACTACCACTACTCTTGGCTCCTCAGTTAGATGGGAACTGCTAAACCTCACTGTGAACTGTCCAGGTTTGCTGGAATAATGCACAAGGGACCTATTCCTCACAGGGCATCTGTCCCAGGTCAGCCCTGTTTGCTCCCAGTTCAAACAAGATCAAATCAGACACTGCACAATGTCTACTGCTGCATTTCCCTCCCATTTCAGTGTGACATATTCTCCTGCCAGCCTAGTACCTGGGGGCAGCAACACCCTCCATGGTTTTCCCACCAATTCTCCAAGCTTTCCACATTTGCCAAACAGCTACAACTCAAAAGACTTCAGTCCCCCAGATCTCTGCCTGGACTGCATGGGGTGAAAACCCCAAGAAAAATGTATAGCACTCCTTCAACCCAAAGCCAGGTTCACAACTCACCAGCTGCTCTATCTGTTGGCTGCTCTCTTGGTCTGTGATCACATTTTTGGGAGGGAAATTTTCATGTCCTTCAGAAGCAGGTCCCAGTGGTTGCACACCTGGTTCCACCTGGAAAGCAAGGAAGATGCCAGAGAGCTCAGGGACAGCCAGGACTACAGAGCACACTGAGGGAGAAGAGGCTCTCCTGGCAGTACCACCTGGGAGAGCAACGCTCCATGTGAAAACCTCTGATCCCTGAACTGCACCACTGGGCATGGAGAAAGCTGAACACCATGCCAGGGATCTCTCAGCCACCAAAGACCTGTGCTGGGAGTCTTCTGGAGCCCAGTGTCAGCCAGTCCAGCTTGAGTAAACCACCCACATGCAACAGTGGGCTCCAGAAAGCTCTCAGATCTGAGTCCTCATTTGTGCCTCATCTAAGGTTTCAATGAGAAACATCACCAGCACATTTCATGGTCCTCTCCAAAGCTATAAAAAGATGGAAGATGGTCAGAAGGGAGAACACAACCCTCAAACAGCAGGAGGTAGAAATCAGTGAAGATTTCAGAACCTGAAGGCAGGGAAGAGCAGACAAAAAAACACCAAGAACTGGAGCATCCCACCTCAGCTAGTAAAGAAGTTTTTCCCTTATGTTTAGATGGAACCCCCTGTGTTCCAGTTGGTGCCCATGGCCCCTTGTCCTGTTGCTGGACACCACTAACAAGAGTCTGGCCCCACCCTCTTGACCCCTGCCCTTTAGATGTTGATCAGCACTGATCAGATCCCCTCTCAGGCTTCTCTTCTCCAGGCTGAACAGCCCCAGGTCCCTCAGCCCTTCCTGGTCACAGAGAAGCTCCAGTTTCCTCAGCATCTCCATAGCCCCTGCTAGACTCTGCTTAGAAGGCAGCTTAGGAGGACAGACATGGCAGCAGATGTGCTATGGCTCATGTGCCACCAACCAAACCAGGTGAAAGGAAACACTTCTCTGTACACAAGTTTCTAACTACATGCCTTTTAATTTGGGCTACAAAAACACCTTTAATCTTTTGAATTTTCACTCTCAACTGCTACTTGAATTGACATCACCTTCCCAAAGTAACCCCTGACAGAAGAGCAAGGCCTGAGTTAGGTAGAAGACAGTTTTGACAATGGTTTGAACACTGAATTTAAAGTTACTTTTGCTAAATAGAATTTAGGGACAGGAGATCATTAAGATCATCAAAGCCAACTTGTACAGTGAGCAATCAAAGCCAACTTGTACAGTGAGCAAGCAGCAGGATTTTGTGACTCCAGCTCAGCCCTTATCCTTCAGCTGACCTCTCATCAGAAGTGGAATTTCTCTTTTCACTTTGAACACCTCCAGTGCCAAGGGGCCTACAAGGCAAAGTCTGAGCTCCCTTTACAGCCAGCTACTAGGACAGTGTCTAAGCACAAGACCTAAAACATTTCTTTTACCTATTTTAGGCTTGAAACCCTAATTTTAACTACCTCTATATTCATGGCTCCACTACTGAAAGCCAGAAAACCCTCAGAGACTACACTCAAGCACAAACTACCAAGGTTTTCAGATTTTCTGCTACAAGGGAAATCCTGAAGCAACCATCTTGCAGCATGGCTCAAGGTTCCCCTACCACCCATGGCATAGGGTTCACCTGGAAGTTTGGGAGTCTGAGCACCAATCTTTGGCTGGAAACCTTCAGATCCTCCACCCAAGCCACGAAACCTTAGAGTCCCAGCCCTTGGGAGCTTTCAGATGTGCTCTGAAACCAGCACTAAACTCTGGAATATCCATTTATAAATGTTTCTAAGGGGTTTTCTGTTTTTAAAAAAAATTGGCATTTACCAATTTTCAAATATTTCACACCTCCCCTCCAAAACTGCTTCCTCACAAACTGAAAATGTTGCTTTTTAGTCAACTTTAATGAAATCAGCTCCCAAGCAATGCCAGTGGATGCCAGCTAGGGTTAGATCCTCACTGCACGAGCACCACGCACTGTGCGTCACAAGTCACGCTCTCTTGCAAAGAGGCATCCAAGACAAATTTACTTCTTTGTGATCATTTCCCAGCAAAAAGCTACACAGAATTATGACACTCCTAACTGCAGACAACTTATAAAAGTTACAGAATGATCAGTTTGCACACAAAGACCTGATTCCCACCCAAGAACAAAGGCGTGCCCCCAGGCACACGCTCACAGGCTGTTATTTTGATGCAGAACCCAGACTCGTCTCCCTTTGAAACAGCTGATAAATGAGACTGGCACACACCACGAGGAGAGCTGTGCCCTGGAGCTGTGCCACCTCCTGCACAGCAGGGACTGGAAGATGTTCAACGAACGAGCCAGGTGCAAGGAATCTGTCCAACCAGAGAGTTCAGAACAGCTGCTGCCCACCCCCAGCGCTACCCACCCAGGCTGCACTGAGGGAGCAGGATGGTGCTGCACAGATCTGCATCCCCAGCTACAGCCCAACACACAACAGGCACAGGCACCTGCACTTCAGCAAATAATTGGAAAGTTTAAAGCATGCCACAAAGAAAATTAAAAACATTGTCAACTTTCTAGAAGCTCTGCCCTTGGCAGCCAGAAAGCATCACCATGATCCTGCCCCCCCAAAAAATCACTATATTTTCCACCTAACCACAGCCTGTTCCCTCAGCTGTGCCAAGGCAGCATCAGGCAGAGCTGGAGCACAGAACTGAGGCAGGTTTCAGGACAGGCAAGAAGAAAGGCTGGGTTTGCCAGGTCGTTTTTAGCTCAGATCTGTCCTGTCCTGCTGCTCAACGTGAGTTGCACTGGCACGGGTGAAGGGGCAGTGGGATTAGCAGAGGACAGGAGGCTGTTTGCACCAGCCCCACCACTGAAAGAAATCTCTGCTAAATTAGGGTTTGTTTGACAGAGATAAGCATCACCCCAAAACCCTAAATAAAGCAGCAGAGAAAGCAGAAGGAAAACTGAGAAATGGGATTTTCCAAGGACACTCAGAGGAGAAGCTTGTCCTTTATACTCTGAGGAGTTCTCTGAAACCTGGGGAATACCGTTCTGACGCACTCTGCTGGGGAGCAGGACAGAAAAGGAAGATAATTTCTTTTAATTATGGTTCCTGCCCCGAGAGCTGACTTCATCCTCAGCACCACACCACTGTGCCCTCATGAATACAGCTCCTGAGCCCAGAGTGTCTGCTACAGCTTCCAGCTAAGAGACCACCAACAGCCCCCTTGCTGCCCCTTCACTGCTGCTGCTGGGCTTGGTCTTGTTATTTATCAGCCAGAAAATCTTCTGACAATGAGGGCAGACCCTCCTGAATCAGAGCAATAAAAAGCATCCATGGGAAAGACCATAATACACGCTCTGTTCTGACAGAACCTGCAGGGTCAGTTGAAAACCAAAGTATGGAAGGAGTGGTTCAAGGAAAACAACGACTGAGCAGAAGTGGGGAGGGAAAAAAAAGTCTGTGCATTCCTCTTCATCATGGAGGAATTTTGAAGGCAAGGGGCCACCAGGGCAGAAACATCAAGCTATGAAGTACAGAGATAAAGATCTCTCTCTGAATTGTCTGTAAGAACAACTGTGGAAGCCAACAAAATAAACACTAAAAAATTGCCAAGATTAGACAATATTCACCCAAGGGTTTAAAAACCCCCCTTGGCATGAACTGAATCTCTCACTTCAGCAGTAACTGAATCAGTATGGACAGTTCTCTGACATTACCTCAATACCAAATACCCTAAAGGTAGCAAATGTCAAGCTTTAAGAGTATTCCAGTGGAGATCTATGGAAACACAGACCAGTACATCTGATACCTGTTCTGGCCAGACTGAAACTGCAACAGAGCTTAGGCAGATAATTAAAAAACTAAACCAAACAACCCAAACAAACATATATTGGGAAAATAAAAACACACACACACAAATCTAGAAAGAGTTTTTCTAAGGTGTCAGCAAGCCATCAGGTGAGGGAGATCCAGCAGGTACAGTGTTTGGGTGCTCTGAACACATTCAGCTGCATGGCTTTGAAAGGCTTCTGCAGGCACCAAGCCACCCCAGGATGAGGAGGAAGGTTTTCTCTTGGGTAAATATCTCGTAAAAATGAGACAATTTAAAAGAGAGACAGCAGGAACCGTGCTCTGTAAGTACTGATGTGGTAAAGAGACAAATGGTGAAGAGAGCATCATGACACCAAGAGATTACAGAGGGCCATCAGATAAACGGTGTTTTAATAGCACCCAGCTTAGACAAAAAGGCAAAGAGATCTATTGGGAAAGAGAGAGAAAACTTCATTATGCCACCATATAAATCAATGACACAGTCTCTGGGATACTGTCAGCAGGGCTGTTTCTCCAGACACAAAAATGACAGAGAAAATGTATAAAGGAAGGATACAAAGATGATTAACAGTGAATAATGGAAGAGCCTAGAAAGAAATTAAAAACCAGCTGAAGAAGAGGAGCCTGTAAACTCACAAGTGACTTGGAAAAGATGAACGAGGAATGACTACTCAATACGTCTTCTGTAAGAGCTGGGGAGCAATGAACACGAGCAGCCGGTGGGAGTTCAGAGGGAAGATGCACAGCCCATCCTCACACAGCCCACAGACGTGAGATTCTGCGTGGGGACACGGCGGGTACCCCAAACTTCGGAGGGCAGCCGGGTGAACCCACACGACACAAACCCACCGGGAGCCAGCGGACCCCGCGGTGCCAGCCCGGCTCAGCAACCGCACGGAGCCCGGGGCGGAGGGCACCAGGGGGGACCGGGGGGCA